GGGAAATTTCCTTCGGGTTGCGACCAATTCGGGGTGCGACCAGAGTCACGGAACGAATTAAATTCGTAACCCGAGGTTCCACTGTAATTTGCAGTAGTTTCTTTTTTCTGTTATACTCAATTTTATATATAAAAAAGTCAAATAATTTTATTGATATCCTAAATTGTAATTAATATTGATATAATATTTTTTCTCTTTTCTTTATTTCCAATACTCCATGTTATCTAAACAACATAATGTTAATAATTTGAATATCACTGTATTGAAACAATAGAATGTATAAAAATTACAACACACACACACACCTTTCTGCATTTGGTCTCTGTGAACTCATGCAATTGCAAGCTTGTTGGTTAATCATATATATGTGATTAGATATCAATTTCTAGATCTACCGTATGTGCAGTTGATTTCTATTGATATTAATAGATACTCATATATGCACTATAGAAAATATAGTCAATGTGATGTTTTTTCTTAATCTTCATAGAGGTAGCATTCCAGTGCTAACACATTTTATGTACTGTCTTGCACACTTTTCTTTACTGCAGTATCATTTCCAAGATAATCAGCCAAAAGTCCCTGAAGATTATCTACATATGACATTTTCTCACCCAAACATAGCACACAAGGAGGAAGAGATTGGAAATGAACCTTTTTAAAGCAGCCGTTTGAAGAGACTCTCTCTGCTGTAATGGAGAAAGTTAAACCCTTTCAGCCAAACGGGGAGGCTGCACTTTTCTCAGTCTACCAAATATTCTGGAAAGTTTTTGTTCTACATACTAATAGACTCTTTGAGGGGTAATTGAAGCTTCCTTGTTCCCCAGCATTTTGATTATGAGATTCATTTCTCTGCTTCAAACAGCAACAAGAAGGAAGTTAAAGTTTCTGCCTTCACTCCCACAATCTTGATCAAGCTTTTTCCTATTAATATTAGCAGTAAGAAAACCATCATATTGACTGCATGGAAATAACTACAATGGGAAGGTTAGTAATTAAATCCTCTCCTGTCCAAAGATTTTGTTCAGGATAATTATTTCTATGCTGTAAAAGAGCAAACTATTGCTCATCATATTGCCATCAGGATAGGCAGTAGGAAACACTGGCCCAAAGGAGGACTAGTAATTCTAACAAAAGAAAATGAAAAATAAGGTCTGAATTTACATCATGAATGGACAATTCCTGGTCCTAGAGATGAATGTGGACTTCAGACTAATTTCAAAAGCCCTCTGCCCTTTTATCAGTTCAAACTCTGATAAGAGCTATTTCTATCTTTCCCATATTCTTTTATCGCTTAAAAGAAAGAAGATGCCAGAAAAAGAGAAAGAAGAAAAGGTTCTGGTTGACCTGCACTTTGTTTCTCTTCTTTTACCATATGACCCCAATAAATTACCCCTGAAAGAATGGAGCCTTCAGCAACTGAAACAACAACAACAATCTGATTTAGAGAATTGCTAGCCATCAGGTTAGTAGAAACAAAGCAAGCAGACACACACCTCACCTTTGCATTGTAGGGAATATAGTGCTTTGATAAAGCCTCAGGTGTATGCATCCATGTTTTATCTGCAAAAGGGAAAAAATACACATAATTAAGACTTATTTACTAAGCACGCACACAAGGACAATACATACAGTAGGTGTTTGCATTCATATAAACCAAACACAAACAATACCTATTATGTACTACATAGCTGTCTCACCTTACCCTCACAGAAAGCTCCCAGAGATTTCCACTGACTGTTTAGTCTTCAGTTTCCATCTATGTGCCACAATATCTAATTCCTGAAATACTCATTCAGTTGTCTAGTACTAATTTAAAAGAGGAACAGGTTAGCTAATGGTTGTTAAGCAAAGCACATCCCCAAGCCCTGGAGCCTCTCCATAAACAAACCTTTCATTTCCTGTATTCAACTTATACTCTTTGGACTTTGTTATTATGAGCAGAAAGGGGGTGGTGGGGTTGGCCTTATCGCCTCCCCCATATCTCCAGCCTCAGTGACTGACTCTTGTCCCTGTTCAGTCAGAATTCTGCCAAATGCTGTCTGGCTTCTTACGATCAGGAAGGACAAAAATTTCCAAACAACAGATTATATTCAGTTGTGTCCAACCACCAGCATGCATGTACTTAGGTAACAAATAGTTCAGCAGTTTGCATCTCTCTCTAATATGGATATATCTTCCCTCGACTAGTGGATCGAATTGCGTGAACACTATTAATGGTGCAACTTTAAGATCTCTGAACAAAATAACAGTGTTGTGAGTAAACATGCAAACAATTCTTTTACGCAAACTACCTTGACAGAATTTTTACCCTAAATGATACAAACTACAGAAAATGAGGTTGTTGTTTTTTTTGCAGGAAAGAATTTATTATACAATAATATATTTTTCTAAAAAATGATATCCACTTATTTCTAAATTTTATCATTATGTCTAGAACTGTTCACCTATGTGCCTAAACATATAGTTTTTGTGAATGACTATATGTACTATGTCTCTAATTCTAAGGATTCTAAGGATTTTTATCTATAATTTTTATAAACTCTTTTTTCCTCTTTTCCCTCTTTTTTCTTTTACAAAAAGGACTTGAATTGCCTAGACCTGTCTAAATTACCAGACTTAGTTTGTTCTGCTTTTGGATGGTCTCCCAGCTATGGATTTTGAGAATCCTCCTCAGCCTGAGTTTAGCCCACTTTTAACCATCCTTGGCTGCTGGCTGGCCTTTTTAGCCAAGTAAGCTGAACTGCTTCAGGGACTGCAGTGTCTCCCATTCTTTGGCTGAGAGGGGAAAGTTTGTTACTAGCTGCTGGGTGGCCGTTGGGACTTCTAGAGTTGGCAGTGTCATCCATGACCTGCTGCACCAAGTTGGCATTTTGTCCGGGCAGTTTTTGCTTTTCTCCTCTCTCTCACCTATAATCTTGTTGTCCTGCCCCCAACCCACAAATGCAATCTCCCCTCTCAAACACACTCCATTCATCTACCACCAGGTGCAGAAGGTGTCTTCGTTTTCTAGTTGGAGTGCAGGTGTGGTGCAGCAAATTCAACTGCCTCAAATTCCAGCTGGGAGAAGGGAAGCAAAAGTGAAGGAAGGAATCACACTGACTGCTGTGGGGGTCTTATTGTAGAAGAAGAAATGTCAAAGGGGTATATTCTTGGCAGTACTGTAAATTCAGAAAGTAAGCATTGCAGATATTTCACTCCCCTCTTTAAATTTGGGGTTTCCCCAAAATAAAAACAAAGAAAAAGAAACACAATTGTTTCCATGAAATTGTACACTTGTAGCACCGCTGATGATGGCTGACTGTAACTGATTCATAGTGCTTTTATTAAAAATTACAATTACAACAGTACAAACTAGTACAAACTAAACTGAAAGAATAAAAGAATAAAAATTAAAAAATAGAAGGTACAGAAAAGAAGGAAAATAGAAAGAAAAATAGAAAAAAATAAGACTATAGTACAGAAGAATGAAAGAAATATATAAAGAAATGACTTCCCCCTTCATCAGAACAAGGATAAACTATTTTAGTAACTCATAAACTTCTGTTAAAATAAACAAATGATCTCTTCTTCCCATATCCCATCTCTTATCTATAAGCAAATCCATAAAACCTTGTCAATTCAGTTCTGATGTCAGCAAAAGTCCATTAAGGGTTACTAGAGATAACAACATATCTATTTTAGCCTTGATCAAATAAAGCAACTTTATATTCCTTCCTTTTAGTCCCTTCAAATAATGTCCTAGAACTTGATTTCTTTTCATTTTGTCTTTGTCCCTTCTCACAAAATTCTTCAAAGCTTTAACAAGCCTCTCTTGTAAATCCAATATAGGAAAATTATCCAGGTCACTCTCTTGGTTTGTTATTTGATATCCTTTTTAATTCTGCCAGTTTCTTTTGTATGTGTAGTATAACATCTTTTTCCATGTCATTCTTGTAGCCTGTCATTTTTAAATCTACTTTCACATCAGTCTCAGTCTTGTCCAGTAAAACTTGTTCCTCTTTCATAACATCTTTTAAACACAATCTATCTATAGAGGCAAACACTCTTAAAATTAACTTCTGGGTCCATTGTTAAAAAATATTCTTCAGTATGTACAGTGTTAAAATATTTTGCTTCATTATATAATTGTAAGTTGAGTTTAAGTGTTCTTCTCCTTTAATTGTAATCTTTAGTTCCCTCTAGTTTCCTCTAGTGTCCAATTTTTAAAATCTTATTATGTTTTTTTTAAAAGGATTCAAAACAAAAGCATTT